ATCTGAAAAGTGCCCAATGTCTATAGTTTTCAGCGCTCTGTTGGTTAAAAAACCTTATTGACACCTAAAAGAGTCTGCAGTACAGTTGGCTAGTATTTAATATCGTTATGTTTGAAATTTGTTTACTCAAGAAGTTGGATATATCAGGTCATTGATTTTCTCTGAAACAACTTCGCGTATATTCTGTTTTCTCTCAATAGGGAGTAAAGCAATAAACCGAACTATAAAAAGCAGATAATTCTTCCATGTGACATCAGAACCACATGCTTGTTTCTCTGTGAAATCTTCTAGATTTTATCCACTTCAGTGACTTTCACTTCTGAATAATGTTCAATATTACCGTGGATAAAGGAACTTCAAGATATCTTTTTGTCTCTATTATTGATATTCCCTCTTGGTTCCAAGTGAAACACCGGACTTCAACAGCATATCTCCATTTCACCTTATGGTCTCCAGGCCTCTACAGATAGTTCCACAACTGCTCATAAGCTTTTATCTTCTCCTCATACGACTTCCTTCACCTTATCTTCGGACGCCTAACTCGCTATTTGTTATCAGAGTTCTACTCGACGGCGTGGCACGCGATGTCATCCTACGGTCCTCCCAGTGTGTGTCTGATCCATCTGCAATTCCCTATACATATTTTTCGGGCAATAGGTTCTTGGCTCTCTGGTTCCCAAAGTTACTTTTTGCCAGTCCTTTCTGGGAGACTATGTGAGCTTTATTATAGCGCAAAGCCAGATGTTGATGAAATGTCTGCAGTCAGGTGGAAATAATTTTGATGACGCTCCAAGTTTCCAAGCCATTTAGAAGTGCTAAATGACTTGACATTAATTTTGAAAATCCAAATTTTGTACTTTATTTTGAATGCATTCAATTTCCGGACTGATTTCAGAGAAGTGAATGTCCATCTTACTTTTCCGATACTACCTTTGACATCCTCATCCGTGCCACGTGTAGTTGAAGTGATGTTGCCTAAATAATAAATGAAAGAAGTCACTTCATCCTGATTTATCCCAGTGACGGTGATTGATGGTTGTTATTGTGTGGTAAGTGTTTTTGCACCGCCTCTGTCTTCTCTACGTTCACCTGAAGTTGTCTTTGCTTCCTGCCTCTCCTGCCGACTTGTTGGTTCTCGCCTTCACAGGTTCGAGTTCCTTTGAAATTAGGACAAATCGTCCTAGAATCTAGAATTTTCTTGTCTGTCTAAAACAGTCCTGTCTTCTCGCACCTCATGTTCTGACTTATAATCCAGTCTATCACAGTCAGAAATATCACCAGTGATATCAGGCAGCCGCGCCTGACTAACGTCTTCACTTCAAAGGCTTCGTTGAGTTTTCCTTTTCGAATCACTTACTACTACTAATAATAATAATAACAGCCATCAATGTGTCGTGTAGCGTCATCATAGAGCTGTTAAATGAGGTTGAAAAAGGTTTGGGGCACGCCATTTTGTTGGATATGTTTCCCAAATTACTTCACGTTCAACGCTGTTAAGGTTCTTCACAACGTCGATAAAAATGTGGTAGATATTTGACTGCCACTTTATACTCTGTCCATTTATGACGCGTAGCCTTGCAGTTTGATGAGCACATCATTTGCTTTCCATGAATCCAGCTTGTTCCAGGTGGAGTTTTGTATCCAGTTCATCTTTCATTCTCTCCAGGATGATGTAACCTAATATTTTACGAGGCATAGAGAAGAGCTTCATCTCACGCCAGCTCTTGCAGAGGCCTTAATTTGACGAGGTAAGCCCTCTCCCAATCAGTAGGTACTTTTGCCTCCAAATATTCTGCAGTAGAGGCATGAGGATGTTCTCTGAAGTCTCTGCATTGGTCTTCAGTGCTTCCTGCTGCCTTCCCAGCTTTTAGTATTTTCATGTCCAGTAAGACGTCTGATATTGGTGAAAGACTGATGCTGACCAGCAGTACTCTGGCTGTTGTTAGTATCTCTGGACGAGCTGGAGGTGATGGTCGATGCAAGAATTCTTTGAAGTGATCAGCCCTTTGTTTCCTTTGCTTCTCCTCTTTGGTAATTAGTCTTCCTTCATCAGCTGTCATCGGTTTTATCTTACATGCTGTTTTTTACTTCTTCAGGCCATCTCTATACTATCCTAATTGCTATTTTTCAAATGTCAGTTTCATATGTATGTTGCACACCTTCGGATATTTTCTTCATTTTCCAAGTCTAATTATCCTGGCTTTACTGTTATCTAACTCAGTATCAATAACAAAATTCGGATTTTCAATACAAACGTCAAGTCAGTCAGTTCTTCTGTACGGATCAGAAACTTGGCGGGTCACAAAGAATATTTCCAACAGCCTGTTGCAGACATTTATCAACAGCTGTCTTCGCTCTATACTGAAGATCAGATGGCCGGAAAGAACAAGAACCAACAAGAAACTATGGGAACAAACAAAACAAGAACCAATCGCTCAACAAATATGCAGGAGAAAGTGGAGATGGATTGGACACTCACTGGCTGAGGAGGCCGTTCGGTGACATCACGTGTCAGGCCATAGCTCGAGTGGAACCCGAAAGGGAAGTGGCGAGTGGGACGTCCAATGGTGGGTGACATGGAGGAGATCGTGTGAAGAGGAATTGAAGCAGTATGGACTAACATGGATGCAGGTGAAAAGTACAGCAGAAAATAGAAGCAAGTGGAGACGTGTAGTTGTAGCCCTATGTTCCACAAGGAACCCAAGGGAACAATAATAATAATAATATAATACTGTTATCTCAGTGCCTTCTACGAATACTATTCTATCACAGTTAACTAGAACGCCTTACTTGACAACCGTTGATTTGTATACATCTTGACTCGTAGAGTGAACCTTTCTCACACGGCCACCATATATTTCTAAAATCTGTAGGATAGATCAGTTATCAGAAAAGAATGTGCATATTTGCTATGTGTACTTAGGCTATACGTCAGCATTAATTTACTTATATTTAATTAAATTGGAGATTTTTTTTCTTTCTCACCGCTAAGAAATATTGCACTATGCAAATTAGGCGAACGTGTCAAGTGCTTATGAATTGCGAGAGTTATTTGATTTAGAATATCTTCTTTTTTTTACCAGTGGTATATTCCAAATAATAATAAATAAGAAGCCTCTTCCCTAGAGTAATCATCTCATAAACAAAAATTAATGGCTTGAGTAAAACAAAATTTTTATTTGTTGGATTGCAAGTATTTGACTGGTTTCAAGTTAAACAGCGAAATGACATTAGTCGGAGAACAAGTGGAAACCATAAAGTACTGGATAGGTATTTCTTCCCAGTCTAGGACTCCTCAATAACATGCAAAATATGACCACATTGGGGATCAAATTGAGCAGAAGTTAGAATTCATGGGACAATTAACTCTGTCCTAGTGACTGAACGGGGACGTTTTCACATACACTCCTACAAGTTCTAGTTCCCAAAGTGGTAGGGAACAACTATCCAGTACTCTCTGGTTTTTAGTGGTTGTCTAACCAACATCAGTGAGTTATCTAACTTGGGATCATAAAATGCCCAAAACACTACTTAAGAAATTCGACAGCGTTGACCGCGAAGTAATTTGGAAACTACTCGAGTACTACGGCGTACCCCAAATATTCATCAACCTTATTCAACAGCTGTACGACAACGGCACATGTCGAGTGATCCACAACGGAAAACTCAGCGAGGCGTTTGTAGTAAACACAGGAGTCAGACAAGGGTACTTATTATCACCAACGATATTCCTAATTGTGGTGGGCTGAATTATGCGTCAGACAGTGGGAAACGAGAAGACAGGGATATCCTGGACCGACGTGAAGAACCTAGAAGACCTGGATTTCGCGGATGATTTGTGTCGGATGTCACACAAAATCGAAGACTTACAAGCGAAAACCGATAAACTGTCTCAACTACAGGAGGAATGGACAAGGATGTCAAATCGAGAATCGGGAAGGCGAGAAACACATTCATCAACCTGAAACCAATCTGGAAATCTTCGTCACTCAACTCAGCATCAACAACAAAATTCGGATTTTCAATACAAACGTCAAGTCAGTCAGAAACTTGGCGGGTCACAAAGAATATTTCCAACAGCCTGTTGCAGACGTTTGTCAACAACAGCTGTCTTCGCTCTACACTGAAGATCAGATGGCCGGAAAGAACAAGAACCAACAAGAAACTATGGGAACAAACAAAACAAGAACCAATCGCCCAACAAATATGCAGGAGAAAGTGGAGATGGATTGGACACTCACTGGCTGAGGAGGCCGTTCGGTGACATCGCGCGTCAGGCCATCACTCGGGTGGAACCCAAAAGGGAAGTGGCGAGTTGTTCGTCAGTGCAAGGGTGACATGGAGGAGGTCGTGTGAAGAGGAGTTGAAACAGTATGGATTAACATGGATGCAGGTGAAAAGTACAGCAGAAGACAGAAGCAAGTGAAGACGTGTAGTTGAAGCCCTATATTCTCCTAGGAACCCAGGGGAGTAATAATAATAAGAAGAAATTTGTCAAGAGAATTAGGTTCAACGACATCTAACCAGTAAGTATACACAGTAGAATCTGCAGTGGGTATTCCAGCTATTTGGGACTGGTTATTTGGATGTGTTAGTGTCCGCAGTGAGTGACTATGCCCTCCTGACATTTGGACCTATCACTCACAGTGTTAAACACCGAACAGTTATCAACTAGGCTAATGAGCTGGTAAAACCATCTCTTATGGAAAAGAGTAGTGGTTGTTATTTATTGACACTCTAAATTTCCGGGTGGTTAGGTTTTTCCTGGCACATGAGCTCCTGCTATGGGCGCTTCACTGACGTCTTGATGGTCTTTGGTTAGTTAGAAGAAATTTATAACTTGAGTTTTTTTATCCGATTCGCAATATTTACGCTTAATTTTAAAGGCTCTTGGCAATAACTGAATGTCAGCCTGATTCAAAATGAAACCTTTCTTCTTAGTTTAAACAGACCTAATATATTTTTTAAAATCTTTTTTCTCTGATTTTTTCCTCAAACAGAAAACTTCTTGACTTTCAATGGGTATAGAACTTGGTTTAGGCTTTTTGGATCGAATATCTGGTGCAAGGAATGGAGCATTTTTACATTTGGAGGATTTCGCCGATAGATTGAACCATTTTTTCAGTTGTGCTATCATTCTAATGCTTTCTGGTGTGACAATGGCAAATGTGTATTTTCTAAGACCAATAGCTTGTACCCTGCCTACAGCACCAGAGAATAAATTCAATGAATTCGCTGAATCTGTCTGCTGGGTACGTGGTACAGTGGCATTACGCGAAAGTGATCAAACACCAACGACTGATGAAGACTGGGAAATACTACGTACAAAAGCTGATATGTGTAAGTAGAGTACATTGATTAAAAGCATTTTTATTAAAGTTAACACTACCAGAATTTTATTAGAATTTGATTGACTGTAAGACAGAATTCACTCCTGGCCTAAGTAAAATTTAGATATAATTGAAAATTAAGGTGGCACAAATTTATGACACGCTTTTGATAATAGCATAATTAACACCTGGGCAAAATTAGGGAACAGGATTTACATTGTAAAGTAATAATCTGAAGTATATCATATGACGTAGTGTTATGACATCTGAAGAAAGTACACATTCTGCATATTTTTTTCTTCATCTCTTCTAAGAACTGCACAGTGTTTTGTTGAAAACTAAGTTATTTATGCAAGCGAGTTTGTGCAGTGGTCATCTGCTATAGCTGCATGCTGAAAGCAATAAGAAATGAAGAAGAATTCAGACATTTCGCTGGATGGATGGATGGATAGGAATTCTTGTTGCCCAGTGATATGAGCAGTTGGCCGACATGACGAAACTAAACAAAACTCTACACAGAAACATACTTTTTTTAACATCCAGAAAAACTAAGATTATATATAAATTTTCAGACGGTAGTTGTTACTAATTTCCTGGATTAATTTGAGCGCCGAGTCCGATTGAATCATTATAAATTATTATTTAAAATAATCCCAACGTGTCTAAGAAAATTATCAAAACAAGATTTTTCTGAACGCTTCGCTGTGTAGTCCACAGTTTCTTCATCAGAATTATTCGGATTTTATTAATCATCAAAATATATGGTCAAAGATTTTACATAAATTGAAGTCAGTTCACTTGAATGTCACTTGGAAGTTACACTTTATCATTATCATTATTGCCTTGTCTTCCGAGTGGAACATAGGACTTCAACAACACATCTCCACTTTCTTCTATTTTCTGCCGTCCTCTTCAGCTGGTTCCACGATTGCCCATAATCTCTCATCTCCTCTTCCCACGATCTCCTCCATTTCACCCTAGGACGACCCATATTTCACTTCCCCTTTGGATTCCACTCGAGGGTTTGAAGATGGCGCGATATAACTCGACGGTCCTCTTAATATATTACCGATCTATCTCCATTTCCTCTTATGTATTTTTTTATTGGACTACCGGGTCTTGTTTTGTTCTTTTTTTGCCAGAGTTTCCTGTTACTAATTCTTTCTGGCCACTTCAGCTTCAGTATGGAGCCAGTGAAGCGGGTAGCTGTTGATAAAATTCTGTAACTGGCTTTTGGAAATCCTTTTCGTGACATGCGAGCCACGTTCCTGACCCTTATAGAAGAACTGACCTCACAATTCTGTCGCAAATCCGAATCTTGTTGTTTGTGATGCCGAGGCGGAGTGCAGAAGATTTACAAACTGATTTCCAAGGGATGAAGGTGTTTCTTGCATTTCCGATTCTGGTTTTCACGTCCTCATCCTTGTCGCCTGCCTGTAATTGAAACGATAATTCCTAGCCAGATAATTGAAGGAAGTAACCTCTATCAAATCTCTCCAGCTGATGGTGATTGGTGTTGATTATTGTTACCTTCATCACTTCCTTCTCCTCTACGTTCACCTGGAGTCATGTTTTCTCTGCCAGCATCTTCAGACAGTTTACTGGTTTTCGCCTGTAGAAGTATGAGTTTGTATGACATTAAAAACAAATCATCCACACGAGAAATCCAGATCCCCTACAGTCTTATTGTCAGTGCTCAGTATATTCCTGTCTACTCACTCCCAACGCAGAGTCTGATGTAAAATCTAGTCCGCCACAATTAGGATTATCATCGACGATAACAGGCAGCCTTGTCTTATTCACGCATTTACTTCGAAAACTTTACTAAGTTTTCCGTTGTGGATCACATGATACGTGACATTGTCATATGGCCAGCTGTTGAATGAGGTTGATAAAGACTTGGTCACTGCACGCCGTAGTGTTGAAGTGGTTTCCAAATTACTTCTCAATAACAGTTGTTGAAAATTTAATACAAAGCAAAAGTAGACATCTGAGCAGGATAACACGATTTCACTTTGTTTCCTTAGTTTTTTTTTCAAGTGCAGACAAGCCGAAACTGTTTTAATGTCACTGTATAAAGTATTCACGTTATTTATTTATTTATTTATTGAATATGTAAACTGAAACAGCATGACATAGGGCAATATTTTCAAGAGTTGATTGGTAAGGATTACATTTGTTTTTCAAGTTTACCCACGGATTGATATCAGTTAGAGAACCACTGATAACAAGAAAGAGGTCCTGGACAGCTGTCTCATCCCAGTTTGGGACTTATTGACAGTGCGAATCCACCACCAGGTTTCGAACCCAGGGCCATGCTGTTACAAGCTGAGCTCATAGGCCATTCAGCCACTGGGACCCGACTCAATGGTCAGCCGATGAATTCTAACATCTTCCAATTCCTGAAATTACTGCGACCACTAACCAATGTCATCGGCGGGAAATAGATCCTCCCGAGTGGATGGTCCTCAGTGGCCACGGCTTCTCATCAGAACTCCAGGAAACTCCGTCCTGTGGGAAGTCACTTGTGAGCAACAGATGACATGAGCTGGTGGTTGCGCTGAAAAATCACGAAATGGTAGAAGTTAGAATTCACAGGGGAATACGTTAGCAAGCCTGTCACTATAAATTTATAGAAATAACTGCGAGAATATTCCAGGGCTAAGAATGGAATCTGAAAGTTGATCGTGGGTGTGAAATTAACAACTTATGGTACCTAACGGTTACATCGTTTAGTCCAGTAGAGATCAGAAAATAGTCATATCAAGATGATGGATAAAGAAAGACAAAACTCAAGGCATGCAATTAATTTGCCAAACCAAAATATGATTAAAATAACTTAAAAACATGATATAAAAAATAATATAAAATACTGGTTGAAGAATTTCATCCTGAGCTGACATCAGTTAGAGGACCATTGGAAAACCATCTGGAAGTACTGGACAGATGTTTCGTCATAGTGCTTGACACTCTTCAGCAGTGCGCATCCACCACAGAACCGAGCCCAGGACCTTCTGGTTACGAGGCCAGCTCGTAGACCATTAAGCCACTCGGACCCGATCTAATGGCTAGTCCATGAGTTCTAACTTCTGCCAATTCATGACACAGAGTGACCACTTCGCAATGTCTTCGTCGATGAGTTACTGCCTCACTTTCAACCTGCTGTACCCTACTGGTCACGGCTTCCCGCTGGAACCTCAGGTAACTGCCTGAATAGAGCCAGTCGCTAGTGAGTATCAGATCAATTTTCAAGCATTGGTTTTGCAGGGATTTTCCAATGGTTCTCCAACTGATGTCAGCTCATGACGAAATCTTTCAACCAATCAAATAAAATTCCTACAAAACCAATACTTGAAAATATAGAATATATTTATCATGGTGGGGCATGATTCACAACAGCTTCTTCGTGAATGTATAAGTCCACTCTTAATCATTTATTGACTAACGCTTCAGTGATACATGGTAAACTCTAGCTAATTTGAACTGTGACCATTTTATATTATATTATATGTATATTATTATTCCTTGAGGTTCCAAGTGGAACACAGGGTTTTAACAGCACGTCTCCATTTCATTGTCTTCTCTGTAGTTCTTCCTAGCTGGCGTCACGATTGCCCATAAGATCTCATCTTCTCCTCATACAATCTCCTCCATATCACCCCTTGGACGCCTAACTCACCGTTTCCCTTTCAAATTCTACTCAACGGTCTTGCGCATAATGCCTAATCTATCTCCACTTCCTTTGTTGTATTTACTGGACAATAGATTGTTGGTTGGTTCATTCCCAGAGTTCTTTTTTACGAATCTTTTTTGGCCATATAGTCTTTAATATGGAGCTGCCGAAGACAAATGTTGATGAAAGTCTGACGTAGGCTACTAAGAATATTTCTGATGATACTCCAAGTCACTGAAACATATAGAAGAGCTGAGCTGAGATAAGTGTTGAAAATGATTGTAAATCACTTTCATGGTCATTATCCTTCAGCTAGTCTTCAGTAAACTTGTTATCTCTTAATCGCTCATATTTCACCGTAAGCTTTTTTAGTCCAACTATACGAATAGTCATAACAGTTTGCTTATTTTTCAAACGTACACTTCCCGGTCAGTACGAATTAACTAAAGGTAGTTGTGCTTAATTGACAAATAGTAGCGGCAAAGTTAAACTTTAAGCACCACTAACTACCAATGGAGTGCGACCGCACCAATGACCTTGAAACGCTCACTGAGCCAGTTAGCGAAACCTGGCAAATAATGTTGTCATCACCAATAAAATATGCTCAACGAAGTGTTATGTTATTAAATGGGATATCTGGCAAGTTTCAGCTTAGGTTTGGAAAAAATTAAGTTACACTTTAAGCCAAGGACATGTTAGGGTTAGGTTAACCTAATAAAGGCGACATTAAGGTTGGTTCGAGTTAGATTATAGTTAGTTTAGGGATATTTTCACGTTAGGATTAGGTTCAGAGAAGATTAGGGTTATTGTAAGGGTTAGAAGACATAAGTAATTACATGCATAGAATGTGGTTAAATTGCTCTGTTGATATAACAATAGAACTTGTGCAATGTGGTCGAGTATAATTCCATTGTGGGTAAAATTTACTTTGATAAAGTCTCACAGTGTTATTCAGTAATATTTACTGATGACGACGTTCCGAGCGCAATTTATTGCTCAGTAAATATCACCGTATGACAAACACTATGAGACTTTATCAAAATAAATTTTACCCACAATGGAATTACACTCTGTTAATACTCCAACCTAAAACTGAGAGGTATTTTTATCACATGTGAGAGGAAGGTATCCTCTGCAACTCTTTTCCGTTTTTATGTTGTTTTTTTCATAAGTATTTGTATTCCATAAACATAAAATGCCTCCTCCACGTGATTGGTGCGTTCGATGTCATTTTTGCTGATTGGTACTCAGCGGTGCTTAAAGTTTAACTTGGCCGCAGTAGCAATTAATGGAATGTAACAATACCTACTTTCTGCAGAATGTTTCTCCCAATCTAT